AAGTGACTTGACATAGAGTGGCCAGTTAGTATCCCAGACTATGAAACTGACTTCAAACTTACCAAAGATCTGATTAGCGTCAACTAGCGAGAAAGCTAGGTGTACGTTTCCCTACTTTTATTATGCCTTGATCTTAACTCATTCACTCAATTTTAATGCTGAATTATTCTATTCTATTCCTATATTTTTTGTAATCATTGATTAGCTGTTGTTACATAACCCAACTACTCATTTATTCGTATTCTTCAAGTGGATAATTAACTTACATGTCTTTCTCTCGACATTTTTTATTGGCATCCAAATGCTTACGTAACATTTTTATGTTTCCAAAGAGTCTGTGACGCAATCCTAATCAATATATTCTTACAAATCAGAATATATGTGTAATTAGTATAAATGTAATCGTACAGCTCCAGTAAATAACATCGTCAGAAAGGAAATTTTCCTCAATGAATAGTTTTTATTTTTAAAATACTAGTTATTCAACTAGTGGTCTTAACTATTCTGTAGGTTATGTATAGGATACATCATCGAAGATTTGTCCTAATCACAACAGTTTATCATCCTTTGATATTAGCTAGATATCTTAGTGTTATATATTCTCTAACAGTTAGATATCTTTGAAACCACGAATCGATCAATGTTAGACCACCATTAGAAACCTGGAAGCACTGAAAGACGGCCATTTCATCCTAGAATGGGACTCCAGTAGTGTGCATCCACGACTCCTGCACCCCGTAGGTTTCGAACCCATGACCTTCGGTATTGTGCGCGAATGCCTAACCTCTGGACCACTGAGCCGGTATCTAACGGTGTTAATGTCTAACTTGATCAATTCACGGAGTTGCGCAACCTCATACACAGTCTTCGGTAGTTACTATCTACACCGGAACAGGTTGAACTTCACTGAATTGATCAAGTTAGACATTAACACCGTCAGATACCGGCTCAGTTAGGCGTTCGCGCACAATACAGAAGGTCGTGGGTTCGAATCCTGCTGGGCGCAGGAGTCATGGATACACACTACTGGAGTCCCATTCCGGGACGAAACGGCAGTCTTTCAGTGCTTCCAGATTTCTAATGGTGATCTAACATTGATCATCGATTCATGGTTTCAAAATGTGTAACTTAACAATATTCACAACCTCGTAATGCAAATAGATACCTGTCCTAATCAATTAAGAAGTTTTAATGACTACTAACATTTTCTATCCACTATGCATGATTTTATAATAACTTCACGAGCATAAATTATGTTTAGTGCACTTCAACATGAGTAAATAAACCATCTATTTGAAATACTCGACTCTACCGAAAACATTCATCAAATCTAAAAAATTTTCATATCATTTCATATGAACAACATTCATATTAACCATTTAGTATGTCGACTTTCTTGTCGATTTCTAAGAATATCGTTTTATCGCTTACAAATTCGATGAAAAGAACTATTCATTATTTTCTTGTAAGATTGATTTTCGAATACAACCATCTGAAACCAAAAAGTAATAAGGTTGATTGGCGAGATATTTATCAGGAAACTTGGGCGTTTAAATGACTATTGGAAACTTTTCAGAGGAATTATAAACATCTCTCAATACCGAAATCATTAAAACAGTGAACAGACAATACCTCAATTATCTGGTAACTGGATATGGAGATATTCTACATCTCTCGGAATTTTTATTTAAGGCTACGTGTTTGTACGGTGTTCGCATTAATTACTCACTTTTTTTTCGAGACTTCATGTGTTGTTATCGAGAAACTGAAGTATAAAATTATATCTTTTCATAATCTGTTCCTAAGGTCCGATGCGTCAGAGCCCAAAATAGGATAAAGGACGTGTTCTACTATAAATTGAATATCTTCAATGAGACACGTGTGATTGGTACTCAAAAGCTAGTTGGGGGGATGAATGGATTAGTAGTTGGAGAAAAGGAGACAACTTCTACAATTTCGTTCAAATCAACACCTAGTAAGTAGCCGGTTAAGTTGGTCGTTAAGAATGGAAATTCCACACTTTTGGAGTACTTATGTAGATTCTAATTGTACTCTCGTATAATCTAAACCCATTTCATGTCTTAGTGGATTCAGTCAGTCAGTTAGCTACAACGTAAAACTTAGTACGTACGTACATCATTTCAAGTTGCCACACCACATCAGCACAGAGAGATCGAATTATCAATTTAAATTCCATAGTAGTACAGGCAGTAGAAGTATTAGAGGTAATGTAAGAAGAGATTAGGGTTCGAAGATATTATTCGAGAAGCCTAACCACAAGAAATAAATTAAAAGGAGGAAAACGGTCATGGGGAATTCATAAGATTAAAATTTGAAAGAAGACAATAAGTGGATGCACCTGTGCCATTACAAACGATTTTGAGACATATCATTCAAGGTCTCTAACCATCGCTTAATATAGTCTCGCGGACCCCAACCCGGTAGTCTACACCTGCCAACACCACTCAGTCCACTTGTCAGTGACGTTATGGATTTCTGTCATGTTTTGGTTTGGCCACCACTAGCTTTCTTTCAGCCAACCTCTACATCATAAAACATTGCTCGCCTAGAAAGTCGGTGGTTAAGCATATGTAACACATGCCCCAATTCAAGATTTACTACTTCATTTAATAATCTGCCATCCTTACCAAGTAACCGTTTCCTAAAAACAGCATTACTTACCCGATTGTTCCGGAATATACGAGCATTGCTTCAAAGACACCGACGATAGATTACTAGTAACCTACGAATACCCTCTATTTTTAATAGCCGTTTCATGCATACGAAATGCTACGCAGCAGACTCATCCTTAGGTTGGCAAACGGATGTGTTTTAGTAGCTTACAAATCATTTGATAAGGATCGATAAAAAACAATTGGTCGAACCTTCCGCTGTAACAAAATATTAGGACCAAATAGACCCAAGACTAAAATTCAGTCGACTTACGACGTTATAAACTCTGAAACGAGAAGTTTCGGGGACAATCTAACCGACCTGTTGCCTCTTAAACATTGACCAGATTTCATCGGTCGCTAACTACTAACCCACCTAACGAAACAGAGGGCTATAGTGCCAGGCTTCAAAAACCCACGTAGAGCTCTTATTATGGACGAACTTCAAGGAAATAATTGGACTGTTAGAAAAGTAGTGTCCATCATCTCGGGATGACCCAATCATCGTCCTTATCTTCAAAAAAGCTTTATCTAACCAGTACCAAGGCATTAGTCTGTTATGTATTACTTAAATACTACTGGCTCCATCAAAATACGGACTGTGAGAAACCGAATTGTAAGCAGCAAGCTAGTTTTCATTCAAGCTTGTAAGTCCGTCAAAAAGAAATACACACTACCCAGTTTATTTTTAGTAACAAAAAATCAGTAATAATCACTACAATACCGATACGATTACCATTTTATTTACGTTTCTTGAGTAATTAAGTTCTTAATGTATACAAACTGTGGAAAGAATAACTGCTGAGCACCTATTACCTTCTCTTAGTTTTTGTGAACGAATTCCAAAATGGCTCAACATTGTCCGATAAACACAGAAAACTAAACGGTTTTAGTTTCTTTACCGAAACTTCTGACATAACTTCGGCACAAGTGAGTTACGCTTGCACATAAATCAAAGTTATGTAAAGATATTGTAACATTGGTAACGGTAAAGTAGAGACAGGTTTTGATTAAAAGAAAATTATTGGTGAGTTAGATCAACGCTGGTAGTTATCGTTAGTTGAATGACTATCAAGTCGAAAATCTATTCGCAACTTATCAGGGGATCAACTCCAAGAGCAATTTTCAGCTAAACTGATCAAGGCGTACACAAAAATTCGCAAGAATACTACACAGTAATATTTCCAAAAGACTAAAAAAATGAACATTAATATGTATTGCAAAAAGTCCTAAAACTACAATTCATTCATAGAAATGCTTTTTTCTCATGTAATAAATCGGAAGACAGAATACAAGAATTATTATATCACTACGGGTAAAGAGAAAAGAAAAATCAAGGACAAGGAACACACAAAAATACAATGTCACAATCTATAAAAAAAACAAGAGATATGCGTGAACGTAGTTGTATACACGAATATCAGTTCATAAATACAATGTACATTACACAGAAAAACAACAAGAGATAGAAGGACGAGGGAAAAGATGAACGAAATGAGCTAATTGCTTATCAACCTTTCATGTTACAACAGAAATGTAAAGAAAAAATAATAAGGCGCATGGTGGTAGTTTGAAATAGTAGTCGTATTCATAGTCATGGTAAGCCAAAATCACTGGGTTTGTTTTAGTAAATATTATTATCATTATTTATTTTATTGATAAGAATAGTAATAACAATAATAATTGTGCGTAAGTATTTTCTTTAGAAAATAAGAGATCCTTGTAAATTGCATCAACGAAATTGGTAAAAACAAAAAAAATGAAAAATTGGACAGAAAACAAAATTCTCAAACAATCGTCATGATGAGCGGTAAAAACAGAGAAAAAAAAGACAAAACAATCAAGTAGGAATACAGTTTGATATTTTTACACATAATCACCACCTGACTATTTCTTTTCATCATTATTATTATCCTCTGACGACTTCAGTTGAATGGATCACTGAAAAATAGTATTGAAAGTCTTTGTGGGTATGTGTGTGTGTGCGAGAGAGAGAGAAATATGTTCGAGAAATGAAATGAAATTATTGTGCGTGCTGTGAACATTCACGTAAAAGTAGATTTTTTTTTGTTTTCCAAACAATTATAAAAAATTTATGCTCATTTAATACACACATGACCTGTGTGTGTGTGTGAGAGAGAGAATGAGCGTGTGCGTATAGATTCCATGAAATTCATCGTAATTACACAATATACAATATATGCATAAAATAATAACAGAGCAAAATTATAAACACAAATACAAAAAGATATGTAAAGTGTGTAATCCTAATTTATAATTAAAAAAAAACAAAACAGAACAAAAGAGACAAGAATCTTTCATGATGATTACTAGTATTATTATGATTATAATTATTATTATTATTCACTAAGAGAAAAAGATTTAATAATTATAAAATGTAAACAAACATTAAAAACAATCATCCATTGAATTAAAACTGGAAGAATAAAGAAATTCTTTAAGACAATGTGACATTGGTGTATTGGATAATTTATGCCATGCATTTAAATTATGCGTTATTTTAGAGGCAAGTTCACGTAGTGTCGATAAAATCATAATTAAATGAGCACAACGTGTTTGTGAACCATTGCTTTCACAATAACGACGTAATAATTCAGCCCATAAATTTTGTGTACGATTAACAAAATCAATATCCAATAGATCAGAACGTTCTAAATAATGTGTTGAAAAAAAATTTAAAGAATTTGAAAATGATTAGAATCAAAAGTTATGTGAGAAACAAAAAACCAGATATCATCAGTCAGTCAGTCAGGTACCACGTAGAACTTCGTACATAAGTTTAGGTTGCCATACCGCATCAAATCTCCCATAGTGGTAGAGATAGTAGAAGTATTAGCAGTGATGGAGAAGATTAGGGTCCGAAGATAAGATTCGAGAAGCATAATTCAGTGAGATAACTTTAGTGAGAGAAAGATAGAGATGATGAGGAATTCAGAAGGTTAGAATTTCATAGAACACAAAGAGTGCATGCACCTGCACCATCGCAAACGACTCTGAGCCATGTCATTTAAGGTCTGTAACCATTGATGACTTTCATCTCGCAGACCCTAACCAAGTAGCCTACATCTACCAACATGACTCAGTCCACTGGTCAGTGACTTCATGGATTTCTGCCACGTTTTGGTTTGGCCGCTCCTAGCTTTCTTCCAACCTATTCCTACACTACAAAACAAAGCTGGTCGAGGCAGTCGGTGGTTAAGCATACGCAACACATGTCCCAACCACCTCAGCTGAAATGAATAGTAATAAAACAACTTTTTTAATTGTACCACTATATATATATATATATATATATATATATATATATATATATACTAAGTGTTGTGTGCGGCAGGCGGAAATAGAGGACACAAAGGATATCGCAAAAATATCTACATATAATCCGTAAGTCTCCAAAACTTACAAAAAAATGTTTTTTTGACATGAAAGGGTATGTAAGTGTAATTCAACAGTTGATGAGTTACCTGGAGTAAAAAGTATCACACCAATAAGTGGTCCAAATTCCATATTTGTCAAATGTAAACGTTGAAGTCTTGAAGCAAATTGAAAAATACTTTGAGCAGTTATACTATCACAAGTCATATGTAAACAATCCAAAGAAGAATCGGTAACCACTGCATTTGGAAACCATGGACTAAATAAACAATTCAATCGATAATTCATTGATGTAGTAGATGAAGAGTGCATATGCATATTATTTCGAGTTTCACGACATAACATTAATAACTAAACAAATAGAAAATACCAAAATTAAGATACCAATGAAATAAAATTGAGACAAGAAACATTGGTAACACAATGTACATATTCATATACATCGTGTTAAATATAATACAAACCTGTTTACAGATCAGAGCAAATAACCATTTTGACGTGACTTAATCAATCGAATGGCTTTATATAGAGATTAAAACAATTAAGGGATCTTGAAATACTTAGTATGAAAATGTGGTAAGCATCAAATAAACTGTCGAATGACAAAAGAAGTTGATATGCTAAAACTAAGAATCAAGATATGAATTTTAGAAAGCTTGAATTATAACTTAAGCTAATTCCTGGATGCCCTAATTTTAACTTCTGGCCACTATATTATTGAAGTCGCTTTCTTTACACTGATTCGGTAGGTAATAGTATACACTATGTGAACTGAAAATTCTACTAGGAAAATAGTATCAGATCTTAAAATGATCTCATAAAATTTCGGATCATCAGAAATAGCTAAGAAGAAATTTCAACCCTAGAGTCAAATTATTTAGTCAATAAAGAAATGTGAAGCTGTGAATGGGGGTTAGTTAATCTGGCGTAAATTACTCGAAATTTATCTGGTTACCTTCTAATCGAACTGATTGGAATACTAAAGTCTCAAAGTGAATTTCATTTACATTCAATAGAAATTTTACTCATTACTCTTGTAAAGATTTAACATATTAATTAATATAAAGAGGAAAATAATTCAAGTTATGATCAGACTTCAAAAAACAACAACATGCTTACCGCAAGTTCAGGTAAACAATCTCTTAATAGAATAGCTTGATCATGCTGAGAAAGTCGTATGAACTGTTCTAAATGATAGGCGAATTCATGGGTAAATTTAAGTTGAGCCGGACAAAATATTTCATCCACTGTAAGAAGTTTTAATGATTCACCTAATTCATGCGCAGTATGCTAAATAAAACAACAGCAAAAAAACAAACAAGAATAAGGTTATTGAAATGTCAATAATGATAATAATAAAATAGTCCACACAATAATAATTGTTATTATGAATGATACATACTGTATACGAATGCTAAAGTTGAAACTGTGAATTTTTTTCAATAACATAACAACAACAATTGAAAGTGTAACCTCTTTTTAGCGCGGGGCTACTATAGTGATTCCACTTTTATGAAGTGAACGTGATCGTTTCACTGTACTCTTTGTTTAACTGTACTGGACTCACTCACTTTCCGTTTTGTGTGGCCTTCATCTCGTTCATTGTACTCACGGTAGTTTCATCTGTATCTTTTGGTACGATCTCAGTATTATTTCGATATCATGAGATAGCCAACAAATAGACAATCATTCCTACATCCAACCATCTTCTTGGTTTTTTGGTTTTACAGAGGGGTTTTACCTAGTAACTGAGACGTTATTTGCCTTTAGTGGTGATCATAGTCAACCGCGACTTGTCCCACCAAATCTATTATCTTTAAGACAGTTTCCAAAATAGGATTTAGAAAAAGTTATGCATTAAACATACCTTTATGGGAGATAAATGCCTTGACAAAGATCCAGATAAATTATAATAATCAGATTTAGAAGTATTCCAATTATTTGCCTGATATTTGATAGCTTGATCTTTACAATAATTTAAAAAATGATCAAATTTGTCTAGAGTTTGTTGATCTTCTTTAGTCAAAATATTGTTAGTATTATTACATAAGGTTACAGAAATATTAGTAGATGGTATTGATGAAGATGATGTTTGAACGTTAATTGATTTTATAGACATTTCATATGAATTAAGTGTAGTTTCATTTAAATGTGTTTCAGATGGAGTTGAAACTAAATCTGTAGAACTTGATGAATATGTTGAAGTTTCATATTTATTTGAAGAATCTGAACAAAGCAAAGTAAGGGATTCACAACAAGAAGACTCTTGACGTTTTTTTCCATGACGTCTTTTACGAACAGCTGAAAGTAAAAATGATGGGAGTAATGTTGATTGATCAATAAAAAATGAACTAAAAGAAAGCACAAAGACTGATGAAAACACTTAACTACAATTAAGAAAGTAAGGTGTGTAGAAAATCAAATCTTGACTTAATTAAACATCGTACAGAAAAAGTTTATCAACAAAAAAATACGATAAAATTAACGATTACGTGAATATAAAGCACCTCATAGCTCGATCACCGTGGGATTTTCGGAACACAATTTTAATAAACGCGAAGTCTTTACTTATTCACACAATGTATTAAGCACCTGATGTAGATAGAAAAGTTTTATAAATGAAATGAGAATGAAGACTAAAATTACACTAATCCTCACCAACGTGGCATATCAAAAACTTTTTACTTGTTCATATTTACCGTCTATTTTAAATGTCACTGATCAATCCTAAATATGAAAGCTGATAGGTCGAAAAGAACAGTGCAAGCAAGAGTCGTCAAAGCGTGTGTTAAGATGGTATGAAATGTCTAAACACAAGTTGATTACATGAAGAGTATTGTTATCAAATGTGGGAAATCCGTCATAAACAAAAGAGTGGAAACATCTTCAACTTGGAGAAGTCGTGTTTCACAAGTGTAGAGCACTACAGCGTGTTGTACACACACAATACTTTAGCCAAAGTAACGTAATAACATGTCAAAGACGGAATCAAACAGTCATAAACTCCAAAAACTAGTCATCAACAGTGAGTGTAGACACAGTTTGCTGCTAGGCTTAAAATGCTTGACAATTTGATTGAAAACTAAGTGAGATTTGAGTAGAGTGAATTTCACTAAACATTTAAGAAATTCACACATTCACAGCCCAGTACTTTACGTTCAGGGGAGCATATCTGACATGCTATATACCATACAATGTAAATTCAAAACACAGAATTTCCGTAAAAGGAATGACATATGTATATAAATTTTCTGAACGACTTAAGCAAATATATCTACAAACACAAGCAACGTGCAATCTGAAAGCATTTACAAATACTAAATGTTTTTTTCGTTTAGATTATTATCTTGAAGAAGACCATTCCAGATAATCGAGTGGGATACTGGGATTATTTGATCATAATTTACTAAGATTGGACGAAAATAGTTTGTTTTTCTTTCTTTAATACAGAACAACAACCCTTACAACAAATAACAATTAAGCCCTTTATGATAATGAGTCATGGAATCCGATGATTTCTTGTTCAGTCATAAACACGGGAAATAAATATATGTCTCATTTGAATACACGTATAGATAAACTCGGTGATAATTGAGCAATTTTTATTCTCATTAAAACAATTATTCATACTAAGCGCTAGTAGTAGTAGATCAAGCATATATACACATTGGCTTTTAAATTCAAGAGCTACTATTGACATTATTTATTTCACACTGTTTTACTTAATCTTAAGGTTTGAAATGATAAGAAGCTATGAGTCATTCACTAGTAATTCTACAATACAATAATGGAGATTAGGAAAACTTAATTCGGGAAAATTTGAAGCTAGATAAATAAGAGGGTTAATGACTACGATAATCATTACATTCAAATGGAGATGGCATGCAAGCACGTGTGCGGTTTATGATACACGAAAAATAATATCAATTTATCAGACAACCTAAATACAGAATGAATTCTTAAGAGAAAAGAAGTAAACAATTGACACAGTGAACACTTGTACATAACAAAAATTCCATTAATTATAAAGCTCGCAACAAAATAACGAACAAAAGAATTAGAATAATAATGGGGAATAAAAAAAGTTGAAAATAGGGTTTTAAAGAAAAAAACCAGTGAAATCGATGAATGATAAAAATCAATCCTAAAAAACTAGAAATCAAAGATATTGATGAACATATAATCCGATTCACGCATTCATAAAGGATAAGCTTCCTCTTTTGGTTGTCTTCATGTGCTTCATTAGTTTATCGGCTCTTGTGGAGCAAAGTATATAGGTCGTAGCCAGCTCTTGCCTTCAATTCATATATGAGAACACGTCCCACTGTGATTGATTCTACAGGGGTGAGAGGAAGGCAGTTGGAAGTACCATTCTTGGACATTTACTTAACTCGAACTACAATTTGTTCAAATCTACTACGATTTCTTCATATCCAACTACTTAAAACAATAGAGGCTCTCGCCATCTATAGAATGAAGACCAGAAAGAAAAACGCCTTATTGTTATCTTTACTATGGCCTTAAACTATCATCTTATTTTCCCCCTACATTCAAACAGAACAGATGCAAGAAATGCATTAAACAAAAACATGACGAAAAATAAGAATAAGACAATGTACACGAATAAATAACAATGAATAAACAACTTGCCATCTCTTGACATTCCCACAGCAATACACTTGAGGAGTCGACATTGCTGACATTTATTTCGAAGTGTTTTATTTATCTCGCATGTACCATTTTTCGCACAAGTATATGACTGATCACGTTGTATAGCACGTCGAAAGAACCCCTGAGTAAATGTCATAGAAATATCATATTTATCAAGAAAATCATTCATTTATTCACAAAATCTTATTGAAAAGCTGTTAAATAAAGTGTTACCAAAAGGCAATAAAAATACGAAAAATATTCGGAAGAATTTCCTTATCAAACTGTCATTAGGTCATCTAATATTGTTCGGAAAGGTCTTAAAAAGATATTTGGTCCATTAATTTGTTGAAGATAGTAGAAAGGAATCCCTGGACCCAGTTTTCATACTATTTGGCAATCGTAAGCAAGGTGCACCTGTAATCTTGAGGGAACTAATGCTCCCTGAGGGATTTGGTTTCATGTCGCCCAGCTTTACAATCAAAGACATTATCGTTAAGCTATCTGGGCAGTGAGTGATATCATGTACAGCTTGGATATATTAACATTTGTTTGGTCATTCAATGGTGAGTGAGTAATATAGTTTCTAAATTGTTAGCCTCGATTATACTTAGACGCATTACTAGTGCTCGTGAAGAGCAGACTAGGGAAAACCAGGCTGGTTTCAGACCTGGACCTGACTGTATAGACCACATTTTCACACTACGACAGGTTCTGCAACACAGAAACACATTTAGACGTCTTACAATAGTTGTCTTCCAAGACGTAAAAGCGGCATTTGACTCAGTGGATCGTGAGGTTCTGTAGCAGTATCCGTCATTGAAAGGTGTACCAAAGAAGTACATTGACCTTATACAAGCTCTCTACTCGAACACCAGTGGTCGAGTGAGGGCTTATGGCGAACTGTCATCGGAATTCTCTACATCAAGTGGTGTCTGTCAGTAAAGTCCACTTTCTCCATTCTGGTTTAATTTTATCATAGACATGCTCCTAGACATAACATTATCCTCGTCTGAATTTTCAGGAGTAAACCTTCTACCAGGTGGCTCGCTTATTGACTTAGAATATGTCGATGACATAGTCCTACTCGGTGAAGACGCTGGCAAAATGCAGTCTTCTGACTACCCTAAGCAAACAATACGAGCATGTTCGGGATGCGGTTTTCTCCCTCGAAATGCAAAATGTTGCGTCGAGATTGGGTTTCATCGGCACCTGAACTAGTAATAGGGAGTGAAGTAGTCGAACGTGTAGACCGCTTAACTTATCTTGGGAGTCTCATCAGTGCTGATGGCCTGGTGACTGACAAAATCTCAGCACGGATACAGAAGGCTCGATTGGCTTTCGCCAACCTGCGTCACCTATGGCGCAGGCGAGATATCCGTTTGCTGACTAAAGGACGAGTGTACTGCGCAGTAGTTCGCTCCGTCCTACTGTACGGATGCGAAACTTGGCCGTTAAGAGTAGAGGACTTTCGTAGGTTACTAGTCTTCGATGTCTCCGAAGCATTGCTCGTGTATCCTGGGACAACCGAGTAAGCAATGCTGTCGTTAGGAAACGAGTTCTAGGTAGGGACGGCAAGTCAATAGATGAAGTAGTGAAACTTCATCAGTTGAGGTGGTTAGGACATGTGTTACGTATGCCTAACCACCGACTGCCTCGACGAGCTGTTTTGCAGTGTAGGAGTAGATTGGAAGGAAGCTAGGGGCGGCCAAACCAAAACATGGCAGAAATCCATGAAGTCACTGAAGTCAATGTGGGCTACTTGGTTGGTGTCAGCGAGACGATAGTCACCGATGGTTAGAGACCTTGAATGACATGACTCGGAATCGTTTGCAATCGCGCAGGTGCATCCACTCTTTGTATTCTCTCAAATCCTAATCTTCTGGATTCTTCAACACCTCTAGTTTTGACTTTCTAAACTTTTCTCATTGAATCATACTTCTTGAATAATATCTTCTAATCCTAACCTCTCCGATTACTTCTAATACCTTTACTACCTCTTCTACTATTGGGTTTGAATTGACAATTAAATCTCTGTGCTGATGTGGTATGGCAACATGAACTGATGTACTTACGTATGAAGTTCTACGTTGCATTTGACTGACTGATTACCATATACATGTTTAGGTAAATTTGTTTGTAAAATTTAGCTATGAAGCATGACATTGGTGTCTATTTATATCACCATGATCTGAAACATGACGATTACTAGACATGAGATTTACATATTTCGCGTTATTTAGGAGTAACTATTGAGTGCACGGTTTTTCGCCGATATATACGGGTTTATATAATTAGAATTCGTCCCACAAAATTAAACTAATGCATCGACGGGTGCGTTATGCAAGTGAACATAACAGGGAATGCTTGTAAGATTAGACGAAATTCGACTAATTAATGCATTGAAAAAAGAGTGATTAGCCTACCTTACAACCTTCGCATGTTGAAACACCGTAATGGAATCCCGAAGCTTTGTCACCACAGACTACGCACATTCGGGTCGGAACTTCAGATGATCCAGACGATTTATGTGCTTGTTCAACTTCTGAAACGGGGGGTGTTTCTGTAAGGAAAAATAAAACGGAACTAATTACACAGTCTCTTAAATATTAGCGTAGGGAGCCATAAGCTCCATCTGTGTAAAAATTAAAAATACCGACCAGCTACCAAAACATTTATGATAAACTTTATTCAAGCAAGTTTGATAACACTCGTTGATCTTAGTGGCCCTTCGTTTTTTGAGTTGGATGGTTTAATTGTGAAGTTTTCATTGTTCTTTTGAGCATCATTGGAACAAACTATCTATAGTTGCAAGAACTTTATGAAAATACTTTAGTTATTCTACTTTTTTTCCCTCAAAAACCTTGATAAGATGCTAAAGAAAACCGTTGTTTTCTTGAAAAAAAACTTACTCCATCACGTTGATTCAGCTCATGTTTGAATCCGGGAATCCGAACCTGCTGTCACTCTAACGAGTCCAGTCATCAAATACTCCATGTATTAAAATTTAATTAGTGTTTTAACACGTCTTATTTTGATGATCAGACTGCTTGCTTCACATTTACAGTGAACTACATTGCCTGCGACTAACCATTACCGTAAACTGTTGATTCACACTCTATTGTCCTGAAGGACCATCTAATGTTAGGCTTGGTAAGAATTCGGTATACACGTTAAATCTACATTCTGCGTAGTTTTGGTACTGGGCCTTAACTAGAATTTCTGCATTGGTGATCAAAGTCACATTTTAGTTTTAACAACTTCAAGTTATAAAAATATTTACCCTATCTGCTCCGCTAGGAGACATACTTAGTAGCTTCCGAGTAACAAATCTATGTCGCAAGCCAAATAAAACAAACTTTTCATTTTGAAGCTTTTTCTAAATAAATTCACCATCACCTAAGTGGAATATTACTACACTGAACAATCTCTAATATAGACAGACTAACGAGTGAGTGATTACTCAGTAATTAAAGCATTCAACTTTCAACCAACAGGTTATAAGTTCAAATGTACTACACCAATTTCGGTATGAGCATTTAGGCAGTATCTCAAACTTTTATACATAAAGTGTGGCTTAATGCAGATTAAGTGAAGCAGTACTTTCTTACCGAGTTACATGAACTAAACTAAGACAAGCATTGGCACTTTAGATACAACTAAGAGCCATTTAATAATTAACATGAGAGTGAGCACCGGAAGATTCTTACATATTGTACATCAACTGACTGTCAGGTTCATTTGATTGTGTTTGCAAAATGACAAGCTTGACGCATGGATTTAAAAAAATAAGTCATATATTTTGGATTAGAGTAATGAATATTAGATATTCTGAAATATAACACCATATTGGCTGATCGACTTGATTTATATTTATAAATGTTCGTTTTCCTGTGTGAGGTCAGATGTCATTATCCCCACAAAACGTGTTGCAATATGAGGGTTAACAAAAGTAAACATAAGACTCGAGCCACCAGTCCAGGAGCACGTAACTGGGCTGTCAGTTATTAAAAAACTTGAAATATATCTAAACATTCATCTTTGAATCTCCTTTGTATTGGACAAGCCCTATCATAAAAAATCTAAGATTATATACGTAAATATCACGAAGATATCGAGTCAATCATACAAACATAACTCACCCGGATGGGTTTCATATTGACTTGTTTTTTCAGCATCCCCAACAGAATAGTACTGTAATAAACTTTTGTCTTCGGAATCGTCCGTCAGCATACTTTGATTAACAGATGACTGAATACTATTATTAAGCAACTGTTTGTTACAGGGATTTGATTTGTTGACCGAACATTGTTCATTATCACCATTAACATCATCAGTTTCACTAAAGATATCATGCTCAGAGTTTCGATCACTAATAATGGCAACGAAAACTCGATCCAAATCTAACCCACCATCTTCTAAAACAGTATGATCCATAGAAAGTGGATGAGTGAAACCATTTAGCGAAGATTCGTTAGACTGAACAGGAAGGCTTGGGTTTAGTGATTTCAGAGGTTGTAGAGGAGATACGAAACATGATTGGTTATGTGCATCTGGAGTAATAAACGTTCCGGATGCTATCTCATGAATGTTCTCCGATTTTATTGGATAAGGAGGATTGCTATCAAAAATGCCAGTGTTTTCAACATAAGGGTGTCTCGTAATTGTGGTAGGTTCTGGATCATAATATTTATTAGGAGAATAGTGTGGAAGATGATTTGATTTATCCAAAAAAGAGCCAACACCAGGGAGAGTCGTACTTGATGACAGCGAGTGGTATGAAGGACTAGACGACCGACAATCTGCGAAAGATACACTAATCACAGAATCTGAGGTAACATAGGATATGGAGTTTTGGGAATTGGGATTTAAATGTTCTATGGGACAATGGCTCATCTGGTAATATAAGGGAACTCAATAAAACATAATTTTTTTTCTTTTAAAATAACTAACTGCCCAGTATTATAAACCAATCCTATATTCCTGAAACGACAAGAAAACAAAAGAATACAAAATATTCCAGAAAACACTACATGTTATTAAATATTTAAAACAAAACAAGTTATGTAAAAGCTTAAAACGTATCGCATTATGTCTACCAAAAGCTCCGTGTCAGTAAGAATACAACGCTCAAATTGTCTACGTTCATCAGGAGAGGCTTCTTATTGTCCGACCGTAGCTGCTATCTTGACGCGATGGTCGAGCTTGCTCATCATAATGACTTGAGGGATCTACAGTGGGTGGAAAACATATCCCTTTAGGTTCGACTGGAGAACGATTTGACTAAAACCAGCAACTTAAATTTTGAGGACGAAGTCGTACTGCTGACTGTAAAGTGTGATAGCAGTAAGGCGTTTCCTTCGGAAAACCAAATTCTGCAGCGACGCTGCCTCCTCACGAAAGAATGGATGGGCTAGGGAAGGTAGACCCTAAAAATGGCACCTCAACCCGCCCTACGGCTTTCCGTCTTCGGCGGCAAGTCCTTTAGAAGGGCGGATCTAACACATTGGGTGACCGGTCTCAAACAGCTGTCTCTTAGACTCTTCAGTCACGCTCTCAGTTCTCTTAGAGAAACGCCAATCCAACTTTCCATGTACCTCATGAAATACTGTACCACGGTGCGAACAACCAAGTAGCGACAGCCTAACTCATATCCCTAACAGCATACGGGATCGACTTGCTCATAATCAGATCTTTTCCCTACCTCTTATTAGACTCTTATCTCCACGACTAACCTTTTTAGTATGCCTTTATCACCTCGTGAGGTTAATGCTAACAAATGAAGTACACGGAATGTTATCCCTAACCACCTGAAACTCCGTTAGAAATTGCTATAGACATGCTTAATAATTAGGTGAGATAACCAGATTCTAGGTGCTTTTCTAAATTAAGAGGATTTATATCCTTTCTTATAGATTGGGACAATCAGCGATTGAAATCAGTCTGATGAGATTACTTACAGTTCCTAAATCCTAGCTGGGATTTCAGTCAATCACACACTGATAATAATAATAATCACACACTTTCCTTAAAAATGTCAGAGGTTAATCCATCAGAACCTGCTGCTTTCCCTCATTTCAGATTCCCTACAGCCTTTTCAACCTTATTAGGAGTTGAGGGACTTACATCGACTTGCCACATAGGTTGACTGGAAATCGTGGGTAACCGGTGTGGTTGAAGGCCAGTTGAACTTCTCCTTAAAGTGTTCTGCCCATCAATCCAATCTGGATTGAAAACAAATAATAGACCCGTCTTTTTCCGAGATAGTCTCTCTAATAGCCGGATTTCTCAAATCGCTTTTTGATAAGCTTCAACAGTTGTTTACTGCTACCTATCGCCACTGCCTTTTTCATCTGTTTTGATTCCTCTACCCACCATTGTTTTCGATTATTGCACAGGCTTCTTATTAGACTGTGTTTAAGCTGACTTCACTTCTCATAGTGTTTGGAGCCAGGAGGGATGTTTCCTAGAGTCTACTAGTTCAGTAGGTGCTACTGAAATCCAATGATTTTTCATAACCTTTTGGCTCAACTTACTGACAGATATCAGTGTTGCTTTTCCAGCTTTTTGGATATCATTCCAAGATATCTCGGGGTGGGCACCATTTACGCGATCATTTAACTGTTTTTCTAGTTGCTCTTGAAATATACTCTTGGCTTTACTACCAATAAGTAGAACCCTGAGATGTTTGCTTGTAGTGTCTTTTATATGTCCAGTAAGCCGGAGACAAATAATTGGTTGCAGTAGAGCATGATCCAAGTCCAGACATTTCCTCCAGAACAAGCGGCAGTCTACTACTGAGTGTCGCCATCAGTGGGTGATAGCAATGTGGTCTATTTGGGTCTGGAGTTGAGTTAATTTTGGGGGTCATCATGCCAAAAGATGTTTCCACTTATGTTTAAATTTGCCAGAAGTAGACGGTTAGCCAAGCATAGTTGCAGCAGACGGTCACCATTATTTGTTCGATGAGCCGTGACACTACAAGATCTATCCAGGTGTCTTTTGACTTTTTCTGTTTAACATACTCGAGTATTAAAAGCACCAAGTACTTTTTACTTCAAAATGAGTGAGTGTTAGAGACGAAAACCCATGTGATCAGGTGAGGTATGGTATTTTTAGAGTCGACTATTTTCATCTACTACAATTGTTATACGGATTTGAAACACGACTGATAAAATGAGATGACTTGCAAGCACTAAATCATGTACATATACGAAGTATTCTGTATATGGTAGAGCCAATGAGTAATGCTGAAGATAGGCCATTGAAGCAACAATAATCAGTCACATGAGGTTAGAGGACAATGCAGACAGAACTACGATGTTTAATTCAGAATTCTTAACTGAATAAATCTGAAGATGATTTTGTTTACCTGGAAGTCTGACACGAGGGAATAGTGATAATTTATTAAGGTAAACATTTTAAAAGTTGTTATGTAGCGAAAGGAATAATTATGTTAATATATTCGGTATGAACTGTTTTGCTGAAGAATCGCAGAGACTTTCTAGAAAGCATCCTACCAACAACTAGATATCAACGGGATTGCATGAACGATTAACATACTGCAAACTAGTAAGCTTTCTGTTACGGTTTAGAATATCCTAGCTATTAAGGGACTTAATACAGTCACTCACTGTTGGCTCGTAAAATACTTTCTTGACGCTATAGTGATAGAGATTGCTTTTAATCAACAGTGACTTTATCGCCAATCTGTGCAGTAGTGCGACCCACTGGTCTGAGTTGCTCAAATGGATTTTGATCATTTAACAAGATGATTTTGATTAATCCTTGAGACTAGTTACTTATTCTCTATCATAGAAAACAAGAGGTGCAATACAATCGTAACGCATACATTGTTTCCAAATAGAAACACATGCATTATCAATATACACAACTTACCTTCAAATCTATGCAGCCTAACCAAGTAGAATGGCCGCCGGTATAGATACATGAATCATTTGAACATAGCTAGAAAGTAATGGAGTTTCGTTATCTAAGATCAGACCGATTGTCATTTTGTACAGACAACTAAAAATAACCAATCATACTTCAGCCTGCTTCGGTGTTAATGAATTAGTCACTCCTCTCTTTGCTATAATTGGCTAATTGTATAAACTTACCTTTGTTGGAAGCTTAGTCATTGGTCACGTGTTTTCAACCATTTATCGAATTTGAGTTTGGATGGCCTGATGGATGCAAATGCAGACATCACTGGCTGTTCCCTAAATACACTAGAGCGAAGTTGGTTATGATCATTCTATGTTCTTCACACCTTAGTTCCACAGACGTTGTGTCCATGTTGTGATGACAGCTTTATATCGAAAATAAATCTGTCCTTTCGATCCATCGGTAAAGAATATTTGACAATCACAAAATTTTAACATGTGACGAGATCTTCACTAAATCAGCTTGTCTGTGATCAGTGAAATGACTGGCTTAACAAGTTTTGGGACTCATTCCTGCGAAAAAAACTTAGTTTTGCGCTAAAAGACTTATTAACCAGTGTATCTAAACTATTGTCTTACATACAATATACAGACTAAAATAAGCTGGTAAATAGTATGGGAAACTTTTTCTAATTTCACTATCATGCAGTACTGAAAGACCAGAAGTTATAAAATGATCGAGGATGTTAATTTAAGCAGACTAAGTTTTTATGTAGCAGTTCGTATCGAAATCCCAAACTAATAATAAATCTCCTAGTCGATTATATCTTCCTCTATCTTCAGCGTTATTATCCATACTTTCTACTTTTATACGGTTGGAAAATATTCACAGTTTACAAGTAATTGTCCTTTAGTTTGTCCATCGAGACACCAGCACCAAGTATTTTCGACAAATAACTTGGGTAAGATTTCTCGAGGCAGTTATTTTAGACAGACAGATACCTGACTGTTGGAGAATATAATCCCCTATAGTTTTTGATGTATGGTACTTTCTTGCTGAATGATTTGAAACGATAGTGTATTATGGTGTTGTATTATTCAATCCGTTTTGTTTAATTGACGGCCGGCTTAAACCCTTGACTTAAACTGACTTCAAAATTACTGTATTATGATAAGAAAACTTTTGTGAATCTTTACTAAAATCAGTTATTTGATATACTGCAGCATCCCAATGTTGTTGTTACTAAGACTGATAACCGAAGATTTTCAAGTAGACTAATCTTCCCGTACAACGATGAAAGAATTCCAATTTTTCAGAAATTGGTGCTATTTTGCTCGGTTTAAAAGTAGAACATTTAGTAATTTAAGTTCCTTTGATATCTCAGAATGCGATCATTATTATCTATAAAACTTTTTGCTTATATGTGATTATCAGTACGTGTCAAGTAGCTTATAGTCATATTTATTTCGATTACCAATACGCACTAAATTGATTAAAAAAAATCAAATGATGTTCACTTACTGACTTCATGGTTTACTTCTTTGGTGATTCATTGTCAATATATTTTATGTAATTTCACAAATCTTTTTCTAAATATTCAATAATTTCACTCACACTTGTTGACTTCGACTCACTATAATGTCATATTGACGTTTTTTTAAGATAAACTGGATGACAAGCGTTATAATACAAATATATGGTTTGACTCGCATAGAATGAGAATTCGGGTCTCTGGCTGGCACTGTTTAGCTGAGTGATTAACTAAACAAACTGCAAAACCATTAATCCGGTTACTGAAATGAAAAGATTTCTTTTTGTAACTTCAACATTTAGGCTGTACAATGGTTACTAGAAATATTTCTTTTTAACAAGAGAGGTGATTGTTAATATAAATGATCTAATGGGATCTGATTCCCAGAATTCGTAAGAATTATTCATTCATATATTTAAAATTGTCAGTATGTATTACATTTTATGTAAAAAGGTTATCGATGATCCCTAACAAACACTGCTTAACCAAGTTTTCACAAGTACCAGTACTTATCAGAGCAATGTTCTTGTTATCTGGGGAGTGGAATACACTCCATTAAGTGGCGTGATCATAGATATATTTATTTACCTTATCGTGGTCTATAGTGGGTACCTTTTTTATCATTTTGGAACTGGTCGATGTTATGTACCAACAACTAATGGTGTTCTTAATCCCATTCAAATAGATATAGTATTGCTTCCGAATTTAAACTTAATTTGTTAGGAAATAAAACCAAGGAAGTGGAGATGAATTGTTAAAAATAAATAAATAACGTAGTCAGTTATGTAACCACAATCAAAGCTAACAGAAATGAGGATAACTTTTCAATAAGCAGAGTATATTTTGAACGTTTTATGTAATAGAATTAGCTATTTGAAACACTCAACAGTGTATTACTTTTTGAATACAACTCATATTAGATTCAGATTCAGATATGAACAAACCTATTTTAAAGATCGTGTACAAATAAATATTCATGAAGTCACCATCATTAATCTATTCGTTTTACTATAATAATGAAACAAATGTAGTAATAAATGACAAATGTTTCTTATTAATGTAAACGAAAATTAAGATGTGATTAGCATTTGGGTATTCATTGTTTAACCCAACTCATGCTGTTTAAACAATAATTTGATTTTACTTAGTTCCAACCTGACTATGATCCAAGTGTTTCATTCCGAATTCGATGATCAGTTATGTATACACAAGATTTGTTACTCGAAAATATGCTTAAAATCTAGTGTATATCATAAGCTACTCGTATGAAGCAGTGCTTGTAATTTTCACGTAAATAAAGTTATCCTAAATATATGATCTTGAGCTCTAAGAATTTTAAATACAAATCCAATATGTCTTGATAATGGCTTAATTGTTATACTTATACAAATCTTTGAATTGTTCTGACTGATGAGGATATTATCGGTGTTAAAAACATTTAAGCTTGTTTGAGACTAGTTTTGGTTGGTGACTTATATTTCGTCAGCTCAGAATCACAACTTACGTTATAATGATACTACATTTAGGCTATCTTTGATTGATTCGGCTACGGAACGTCTGGATTCAGATCACACAATTTCCAAACAATTTATAACCTAGTTAGTCATTGCAGAATTTTGGCAGTTTATTGGACTAAATAATCTATATTTATATTTACGATCGAATTGAACACTTTTCCCACATGTGGGTTCGCTAAACATTTGTTTTGATATTAGAAAGCTCACATATGTTAGCTGTATATTTCGATACTAAAACACGGAGGAATCTAGTATACACTATATTCCATACAATACTTACATTTGGATATAATTACTGACTAATTGGCAGATATCATAAACCAATTGTCTGTTAGATAACTCTGATATTTGATTTCTGGAGTTGAGTCCTGGTGAAGATAGTAACGGTGAGAGGCACAAACATCAAACAAGTGAATGCCAAATCGGACGAAATCCATGTTTTATATTCTACTACTAATCACTAACTTTGGTGAATATATTCTCTTCGAATATTTATTTATTGAATTCAGACAGTAATGATGTGTCAACGCATTTAGAAACATACGATAACATTTTCGATCATGGATTTACATCAACTGTAAAATAAATGAAAATAAGGGAGCTCTGAACGGTTAATTCAATTCACTTGATTGCTTCATATGAAGACAAATCTGTGACTCACGATCCTAGTGTCCAATTGGTCTGTAGTAGCTTATCGACTAATGTTAAATAGTCAAGAAAACAATTTTTGAAAATATTCTACGATAGCACTACCAATATACATTAAGTCTACTTCTTATGACTAGTCATCAGTGACATTGTTAGTACTCTGATTTTACTTTAAGCGAGTACTAATCAAAGTGAAATCATGTTCATAACAATTCAATGCTGCTCTTAGTAGTAAATGGTAAAAGTTGAAATAAGTCATCAGCATTAATCAACAGTAGACTGTTGATTATTTCAGGATAAATTACATTTCAGAATCGGTAGTCTTATGGAAAATTATATAATTCAAAATGACTTTGAAAGGGTGAACTGAATAATTACTTTTCGTTTACCTTGTGTACTTGATTTTTGGTTTTAAATCTGGTGTTTTGTAAATCACTATTTTAATAATTAACGGAAATATAGCTTAATTCATTTAAACTGTAATTTCAACATTTTTTACTTACATTTTATCGCAAGAAGAAAAGTCATTGAACATGAATTACTCCTTACAAATACATTCCACTACTTGTTAAGATAAAAACAATTTCTTTCGAAGTAAACTCCTTTTGTATTTCTTCGAGTTACTTCTTCACTATCTGCTCCAGTTCTGTTACTAAATAACCAAATAATTTCAGTGGTACCTTACAATATGTGTGGACCTTCACTATTAGACACAAACAAACTTAAAATTACGAAACACTGTTAAACTCACGCATCATCTTGCTTTCAGGCTAGTTTGTTCACAAGAAAAATTGTGTTATACTTCTTTAATAGCTACAAATAGTTTTAATCTGTTGCTATTCTCAAAGTTTTTACGGATTCTCAGGTTTTCTTATTTCATTTTAATTGGTCACATGTTTTTTGTTAGTGCTAGTAAAACATATGATTTGGTCAAATGATTGTCTTGATTTTATCTCATTTTTTCTTTCAGTCATATTTTGTGCATCTCTAGGTTTACCTGAAGTTTGGCAAGTTCACTTTTGTGGTTATACTTTTACTAATAACCCTTATTTTTACATTCGTACATAACTTGTTTACTTTATATTATAAATAAACTAGATTATATACGACTTACTAAGAATATTAGAGACATAATTGTCTTATTTCGCAAAAACTATCCTTTTTAAGTTTCTGAAGGTAAACCTGATTCCGAAAGCTACCATTCTATGTTATCTCGCAGCATTTATTGACTTAGGCGGTCTTACCCCACTGAACCAGATGACTTCAAGCCAAAAGTCAGATGCAGAAGCTTGTAGAAATATATCAACAAGCCTAACTAAAAGGTGTCCGGGATCTTATTGCAATACTTGATAAC